TCATTCTCTAGTTAATTCGACTCCTCTAAAAAGAAAGATACCCTTTAGACAAAAGATTTCCTCCTCAATGAATGTTGAACATGGTACAAAACCAAATACCAAAATTTGATTGTAAGTGTTATTTTTTGACCGAAGGCGACAATTTCAAAATCTTCATCACACGTTCATCACTAGATTGTTCATTTATCGCAAGACCAAAATACCAAAAATAACATGGCTTAAATGTATTTTTAACGCCGAATTAAAGGCTCACAATTCGCAACTACCTTTAATTAACTATCTATCGGCTTAACACAACGCCTTCTCAAACAACAGAATTTGAAAATAGTCTTCTTAGAACCAAATTCAATAGGCCGTTTCCGAGAAGAGGTAAAGGAACCAAACCTGCGTATACTAAATCTTTCGGTTAGCATTGTCAATGATACAGTTAATTTTGTTTGCCTGAGCCACCTCGCCCCGCCCACGAATTTTAAAAGTCATTTAACACGAAATTCCTAAGTCGCATAAATTACACGTTTTCGGGAATTCGACAGCGGACAGGTACATACGGTCATAGTTATCTAAATAATATGTTAATCCTTAACCTTTGTTTCCAAAATATTTCAAATTGAACCATTTGATCTTTCCTTTATGACCAAGTTTTATAGATGGTATATTTTCAGTCGGAAACAACAATATTAATAACGATACTGATACTAATATGACATCCAAATGTCGTTTGGGATATACCTACAGCTTTTTGTTAAATATATTTAACATCTTATATTTTCCATAATAAATAAATTTTCAATATATTTACTATTGTGATTTATTATCTTAATAACATTTTTTTAAAATCTTAAAGCAACATATATATTATTATTTATTATACATTTATTAATTATTTAGAATTCCTTCGTAGGTTTGTAGCTAAAGTTCATACTCCACTTTGCCAAACTTCACTATAGAGAATTTGTAACTTGTAAATCAATATAGTTTGAGTTTATAGTTTTCTGCATTTACATTTATTATTTATTTAGAAATGCTTCGGAAATTCCGTAGATTTGTAGGTAAAGTTCATACTTCACATTGTCAAGCTTCACTATAGATAATTTTCTATAATTATATTATATATTTTATATAATTTAACCTACCTATATATAGGGTAAAGTCTGTTCATAGATATAAGAAAATGACTAACTGATACGAATTAAGGAAAGACCCGGGCAAGCTGTAAGAATGAAATATGGCCGAATAGGTCCGTACTTTGCTTAGAATTTAATTATTTAGGGTTTTGTTAGGAAAGATAATAAACAATATTTATTTATTTATGTTTAAATCTAAAATAAAATTACAAATTATTTTTATTACTTACTTAAATTACTTAAAATTATTCACATAATATTATATCATCGCCTGTTCTAATTATTATTTGTTCTATATTATTTGCAATATGGATATAAGATTGTTCTGCTTTTTCTATATGTTTAACAGAATTTGCCCAACTTTGTGGAAGAATGTTAAAAAGTCCGGTTTCTATAAGTTTGAGGACATTGGAGTTAACACGGGGAAAAACATTGTTACGACGAATGGCAGATTTCAGTTGGTGCCAAACATGTTAAATGGGATTAAATATATAGTGGTAAGGTGGAAGCCTTAAAACTGTATGCCCTAGATTTTTTGCATAATTATCACAGACGTATTCCTTTTGTAGGTTTAAGCTTTGTAGAACCTTAAGTAATTGCTTTTTGGTAAATTCTTGGTGAAAATAAATGTCGTTATTATACATGTAGTTTTCGATTGTTGCTCTTGTGTCACATGAAGAAGGGGTTTTAGTCAACTGTCTACTGAGATAACTTGCATTGTCCATACAATGACGCAGTTAGGAAGAATGTTTGAAACCAGTTTGTTTTTAAACCAACTTTAAAATAAATCAGCGATGGTGTCTTCATGGTAATCCAGAGAAGAATCTTTAATATTTTTCGCAGACAGAGAAAGTCCATTTGGAATCTAACCATCTTTAGAGCCAGCATGCAAAAAAAAAAGTTATTATTTTACCTCTTTTTGATAGCGCCTTTGTTTTACACTTATGAGTTGAGTCAACCCAACCCTTTTCCGGGGTATCATAAGTGTCGAACCAGGTTTCATCCAATTAAATAATCGGCCTTTGTTGTTCTCTGTTAATCCTAATTTTTTTCTAGATATTCCAGTCACCATTTCCGAACTCTAAAAGATTCCATTAAAACTTGCCTTTTGCCTTTTTTTTTTTTAAACCCATAAGGTAGTTCTGCCACATTTAACACTGGTTTCATCTTTGTCAAGCCTCCTAATTAAGATATCTAATGTAGGCATGCTTTGTTCCTCGTATAACTGGTAAATTTTATGCCGTATTATATCTTGATCACTTTCATCTACACTCGAGAAAATGTCAGCATCGCTTCTTTTTTTCCTCGCCGAAATGGGATTATTCACAATTTTCCATGTTCCATGTTGGAATTTTTTTTCAATGAGAGTCAAATAAACATTGTTTATAACTTCCTTAGTCCCAATAGAATAGTGTTTTCTACATTTGGGCGGGAATATCTCCTGAGATACACTAGAATCGCACATATTTTGCATAATTCGCACACGATTCAACACACGCTTTATTAGACACGAAATAAGAATGATTACTAATAAACTTAAACTAAGTAGTATACCAAACCAAAGAATTTTAAACACAGGTAGGTATAAAATTATTTTCTATTACGGACCACAATTTTACTTGAATTTAAATTCTGAAACTTTAGGTAATAATCTTGTTGCATTGTATGTTAATGACCACCCTTGGGTAATCCCATTCAAAAGCAGACAGCAACAGAAGGTGAGCCATTTCCAAAAAAATATTTTATAAATAGATTGATATAAATTATTTAAATATCCAAGAATTTTTAAAATCATTGCATTTCTAATAATTTCAATTTCAATAATTACAAAAATTGACATTTTCACATTATGCCACATTTTATAAATGTTTTTAGTCTATGTATCCTTCAATTAATCATTATTATTAATGAGTTGTGGGCTGACATTGCTAACAATATATAAGCAATTATTTTATATGATGTGTACTTGTATGCAGTGGTTGGAACAAATGACTAAAAGATTATTTAAAAAAATATAATAAATGTAAATATTTTAATAATTTTTACGTTTTTTTCATTGTCAAATGTTGCTTAACAATATAAGAAGGTAACTTTTTCAAAAAAGAAGTTTATGTACGATGTACTCATCGAGGTGCCCATGTTTATTATTGTTACTATTATTACTTCAGGGTTCAAACCTAATTTCGGTAATAACCATAAGGTGGTTAAGGATGGATTTAATTTTTCCATTCCTATGTTTTTGATATTCATTTTGAATTCTAAAATCTTAATCACCAAGTGCAATTTCCAAATAAGTACGAATTAACGAAGACAGAATGTAATTATTCTACTTTAATTTCTTCTAATCTATTTAATTATTTATAATCAAAATGTAAATAAAATGCGTATCTACATGCGAATCAAATGGCTATAACCTTTATATGACACCTAAATTTGACTTACTAAAGCACTGAATTACTGTTCCTATATTTCATTATTATTCTTAGAATGACTCTTAATACCAAAATTAAATCCAGCTTGGATAAACTTTGCTGCTCTGCTCTGTTAGGACAATTAATATTTCGTTTCGTTCTATTATCGACTAAAACCGCCCCGTAGTGCAAAATTAACGCTTAAAAAGCTGCAAAATATCCTTTTGTTCGCACTTTGATAGGCCTTTATCCGATTTTTCGTCACCGTTCGACCGAAAACACACACGATTGATAGGCCTAGGGCCCTCGAGAGGCCAATCGTAGTCCACTCGAGCTTTTGCCGTCGGCTGACAAAATCGGGAGGGTGACGCCGACTATACCAAAGCGCTCGTCTTTTGTCAATTTTCCACGCCACGTTTGACGAACAATGACTGACGTCAAAATAGTCGTTATAGGTTATTGTTGCGGCTATAGCTAATTCCGCTGTTTGAAATGCAAACTAGATGCTCGTGTGGGAAGAAAATTAATATGAAAGTATGAAACTTATTCTACGAAGACATTGTACACATTCAAAATATACGATTCAATTATATTTTATACAAAATAGATCAGAAAACCAAGAAAGTCTGCATCCAACTTAAAGATAAACTTAAATCATGGAACCACTCTTTCAGAGATAAAATATGTTTGCTATCATGTTGATTTAAGACAAAGAATTATTTAGCCCAACATTTCACGGGAATAACTATAAAATAGTTAATTTATTGAAAATGTCAATTGCAAATAAAACTTACCAAAACTAGTAATTAAGTAATTTTGTTAAGCTGTTAAACTAATCTTGTCGGTTGATTAATAGCTTATGTGATAAGTGTGATCACGTGATTATAATTTTACAAACATTTATGTCAATAATTCAAGTTTCATGTTTACTCATTTACCTTAGCTTATTGTTTGTAACTATTGACTCATTCTCACACTTCCTTCTTTGCTTTGGTATCAATAAATCGATTAATAATAATAATAAACGTCATTTAAAAATTACATTGTTGGACCAAGTGCAACAATATATTGGAACTTACTATTATTTAGCGCATCATGAACGTAATTACGCATAAAGCTAAAAGATAATGCCCGTTCAAATAATTTCACAAAGGGCATAGTTACATCATCAATTACCTTTTTTTTTAAGAAATGCGAAGGTTCAATAATAAAACTGATGAAAAATTATCAGCTTGCCGTCTTCAAAATTAAAAATGGAGTTCGATTTACAGCTTTCTTTAGAGATAGAATAGTTATTAAAATGTAATTTTACAATTTTGGGCATACTCATTAGGAGCTCTTTTTTTTTTTAAATCGCGGATTTTAATTTAGAAAAATCAATGTACCGAACCGACGAACGAATACCTGAAAACCGAACCGAATCTAAAAAAAAAAGACACGATCGAACCGCAAACGAAAAACTCACCGGTGTGCGTCCGTTTATGTATTTTCAAGTTCTCGCTCCTGGCGAATACCTTCCCGCACCCTGGAAAAGGACAATGGAACGGTTTCTCTCCCGTGTGCACCCGGATGTGGTTCACCAATTTGTATTTCGCTTTGAACGGCCTACCGTTTCGCGAACAGTTCTGCCAATAACACGCGTGGTTCGTAATCTCCGGCCCACCTACGTGTTCGACACCCAGGTGTCCCACGATCTCGGCCATCGTCGTGAAATGTTTCCCGCAAATCTTTTTCGGGGGAGGTTGGTCGGGATCGATCCACAAACACTGCATTTCCTGCTTGATCGGCCTCATATATTTGAAAAAACCACCATGGATGTTACCCGGATGGTGAGGCATACCCATCGGGTGGTGATTGATGTACTGATGATTAGGTTGAGCGTGATAGGCAGCGTGGTGATCCGTTCGCGAATAAAGCATTTGGTGATGGGGCGGTAGGTGGAGATTATGGTGCGGCGCGATCTCTCCGTGGTGATGAAACAACATCGAGTCACTGGGAGCGGTTTGGGCCGTCGGGAACTCGTGATGATCACGTCGGAGTAAAAAATCTCGCGTCGCGTATCCCGCGTGCGGGTTCAGGTGGCCCATGTGGCCGTAGTTGGCCTGGAAATGGTGATTTTGTGCACCGGGTCCCACCTCGGGCGCCGTCATCGCGGCTGCGGGATTATGATGGGGTGCGGGAATCGTCGCACCACCTCCGTCGTGTCCCGGAGACATTTTAAGTCCGTAAGCGGTGAGGTGGTGGTGTCCGCTGTCCATGAACGCGTTTATCATGGTGATAAGCACTAAACAAACACACTACACTGTATAAGGAGGTCACGACGAGGAGTGTCCGTTCATTCTCGACTACCGCTTTGGTGATATATTTAGGAAAGGTCAGGTCACTGTACTACTACGACGCTAACACCCTAACGAGATCACAGCTTGACTGAACTGAGGAACGCCGTGCCATGCCGGGGAACCCTTGGTGACGGAAGGGCGGCGCCGGCTTTCTATTGGTCCATTCGCGGACCCCTGCAATTGGCCAGCGGGACGTTCGTTAGCCATTGGCGTTTTCTGTTGGCTCACGCCGAGCCAATAGCAGCGGGAGGTGTACGGCGATGACACGTTGCATACTTGTTGATTTTAGATCTGGTTTTTATTATGGTGAATACGTCGTCGTATTGTCAAACGTAACGGAGCTGAGACTTCGTTGGGTATGCGTGTCGTCGACTGTGTTGTCTCGACGGAACGTCTGCCGAGCACACGCAACAAATCCATAGGTGCGTTTCTTTAGGCACGTGCTAAATGCATACCTATAGAGCACCAACCAAATTTGAAACAGATTTTGATGTCAAAATCTGTATATGATTTGTGTGCTGAAACCTAGCATCATGATTGAATAAAAAACTACTTAAAATTATAAAAAATGGTGTCGTCAGAATATAATTCCCATATGTTTATGTACATCATAGATTTTTAAATTTCTGACACATCAAAAGTGCGAACACATTTAATGATTCTGTTATTTATGAACGTTTACTTACTAGAATTAACTTCATTGAACTTTTTTAAATACTTGATTAAATTTTAATTTGGTGCTATTTATCATAAAATATATATTTTAAATAAACTTTACTACTATTATAAACCAACTTCATCGATACGTATATGCAGGGTGAAATGACATCACATAATTTAACAGCTGAATCTGGAACCCATCCTCATGCCGAATCGACAATTTGTGTGGTAGAATTAGCACAAAAAATGCTATTTTTGGCTGACCCACACCAATTTCAAATGTAAATGATGCAAATGAGAATATTTTCATGTTAATTTGGGTAATTTGATTCAATTAATTATTAATGTTTTGTCTAATCGCCAAAAATAGAAGCAGATATTGTTCCCAAAGATGTAAAATAGTAAACTCATCGATAAAATCATTTTGTTATTTTCAAAGGAAAATTAGTCAACTAAAGGATCATATGCTTTTTGCATAAATTAATTTAAATAAATATCTAATAGCTAACTATATAAAAATATCGTTTGGTCGTTTAGAACAATTTATATTCGTAGTTCATCAAATACCAATTTTTAATGCGGCATTGCAGCTTGTTTGTGTATATGTAGGTAAGCATTGCGCTTTGTATAAATTTATAGCGACCTTGTTACAGCCTGCTTTCATTGTTTTATTAGTCCTGCCGTTTTGTTTGGTTCTAGGTCTCCTCTTTTTATCTTAACATTAATTATTTTTGGTCTAACCTTTCTAGTTATAGTACTGAAATGCCCAGCTTAATCGCATTTTTATGTTTTTTTGTTGTTGCTGATCAACCTTTTGTAAATCAATGTGCCCAAAAATGAAATAAATTTATGGTGGGTGATTACTAACAAATAAGCTATGAATGAAATGAATTTGCACCAAAATCCACAGAACGTTTTCAATATGGACGAACAGGGATGCTGAATAACTATTAATCATCAACAGCTTGTTATTCAGCAAAAAGGTGTCAAACGTTCACTGAGTTGCATATGAGCACGCACAAAATGCGACTATTGCTGAATACTGTAATGCGTTGGGAAATAGTATTCCACCTATGCTCATATTTAAAGGAAAACGAATAAATCCTGAATGGGAAGAAAATCTATCACCAGGTGCTCTAGTTAAAATGGCCGAAAAGGGTAGCATGACCAATGATCTTTTTATTGATTTTCTAAAGCACCTATATCATTACAAGGGTCCAAACACTATCTTGCTAGTTTTTGATGGAGCTGCTAGTTACCTGAACATTTCCATAACCGAGGTTGCAGACGAGTTGATTATAATGCTGTTCTGCTCGCCATCTAACACCACGCGTAAACTGCAGAGTTTAGAAAAATTCTGTCTAATGTTTGGCCCAGATGCATGACCCCAGAGAATATATTCTCGAGCGACAGGCTTGTATCCACTTGATCCTACTGTAATTCCTGAACCAGCTTTTGCCCCATCACTGAACGTCGTTACGTTGAGGAATATGATGGAAACAACGTTAATGCTAATAATGTTAACAACGATACTGAGTCCAATAATTATAACAATAATATTAGTAGTATGTTAAAAAATATCCAACGAAAAGTAATAAAATCCAAAACGATGAAAGGTATAAAACACCTTTCAAGACTGATAATACAATCTCAGATAAGACACAGACATAAGAAGAAAGTGGAGATCTTAACAAGTCTTTTAAGGAACTTCCTCCTACACCGGAACTGTACAAATTGAAAGAAATTAAGAGTTTAAAAAGAAAATCCTTAAATTACAAGGTCCAGCTGGTAATCAAAGACCTGTTTTATTCAAGTTCTAAATACAGACCTACAATATCCAAAAAATAATTAGAAACAATTAATAGCATCATCATCATCGAGGGTGTCGTTAAGAAGGCGCACGGAAAATTATGTCCAAGAAAACGAATCTTGTTATTGCTTTGTGTATAACAAATCAGAACAATTAAATATGCGAAGATGTGTGTCTTGTGGCACTTGGTGCCACAAAAGACAAGGACGACTATATCTGCGTACGTTGTGATTAGATTGTGTTTTTTTTCTCTCAAAGAGTTTAATTTGCGTTATTGTTATAAGAATGATTTTATTTTGTTGGTTTATTTAGTTCGAAAGAATATGTTTTATGCAAACTTGGCATTTTAGGATTTATAACTGTTTGTATAAAAAATAACTAAATGTACATTACCTATTTTAGCCTTGTTTTAGGTGGGCCTTTATAACCCACCCCATTTTTTCGTGGGCTTTATTAAACAAATGTTCGGATAAAAAGCCCAATGACAGCTTTTTTTTAAAGTGTGTTAAATGTTAAACGTGTACCTGTAGTTTCATTTATGAGAGTTTGAATTAAGATAATATTTGTATTTCTTTTTTTTGTCTGTGTTTACCACATAAAGTAATTTCCTATTAACTGGACCGTATTTGCAGCAGGTACCTTATTGTTAAGAAGAACTGATGACCATGATTTGCCATTGTCCACAAAGAAAAAATTGTAAGCTGTCTTATCTGTATTCCTCTTCTTTATCTGATCATATTTTTTTTTAACTAATAGCAAAAAGCTAAGGCAACGCTGAAAGAAAAAAAAATTAAGAGTTTCTTTCTTCACTAATATTCCAAACGTGTTAAATAATTTGAAAACGCCTCGACCAACCGTCGATGACGACGATCATTCTCAAACGATCTGCATATTTAATTAAAAATTTCACCTCTTCCTCTCAACCCTTCAAGGAATTATAAATAACGCACGTCAAAACGCATAATCAGAGGGCATTAATTCGGGGTTGAAAATTTCGAATGTCTACCTAACAGGCCACCATATAACTTACCGAAACCTATTATTTTTATTGGCTTATGCCTCCACTCGAAAATTTTAAAATATAAACAAAGGTGATTGATGACGTATCTGTGAGAGTGGCCGGATTCCTGATGGGATACCCGCCGAGAAATATCGTAAACTAGGAGTTGGTCTGCATTTGGTTATTTGTGTTCCGTAACCCTTTTCGATGCTGGGCGATGATTTAATGGCATTCCATTACGGGCGTTTGTTTTCTGCGGTTATTGCAATCGCGACTGATGAATGACGCGATGATGATTACCGTCGTTGATCTGAAAGAAAATCTGTCATTTAGAAAAGCACTCCGCATCTATATAGTGCGTAAATAATTGATGATCTACATTTACAGTTCGGATGTTTAGAGGAGAGGGTGCTAATATGCTAATTTTATAAAACAATTTCTCTACGGACTTGTAGTGTGCTGATGTTATTGTTTCTCATGGGACACTTGTGGGTATGAATATGAGCGAGGGCCCATATTTGAACCCAGACTAATTACAACTTTTCCTTTTAGTTGCAATTGCTAGAATATATACTTAAAAAAATACAAGAAAGGCTCGGGATAGCATGATACGTGTGATAGAAGCAGTTAATAACCAAAGAAAAACAGTGACTCGAGGAAGAAAGTCTTCCAAGTCACAAATCATCAAGAAAACAAAGGAAAACGAAAGGAATTCGAAACAGAAAACAAAAGCACCCGGTAAATAAAAGACCGAAAGATGATGAAGAATTTCTTCCAGCTGATAAGGACGATGACATGGAAGAAATTGCTGAGGCCAAATCATGACATGATGACGTATGGTCTGCGATGATCACTTGAAGGATGATACAAAGGAGGAATTATAGGTTCAATGTCCAATGTCTGATGTGAAGCATGTGGGCACATGACCAATATTCTGGAGCAGAAAAGGTTATGTTTGCTGTTTTGTGTTTAAAAACATACTTTTCATTTTGCATTAAATGCCGACAAGGAACTTTTGAGGTACAAGCTCGCGAATGTGGGCATTGATGTTATTGAAAATCTAGAATTCTCCTCTAGATATTTGATTCGATAGATCTTGATGTCTTTCATTATCCACTCCCTCTGAAATGTCAGGCCCTTAAGCCCGAACTTCATACACCATCCGTTGGTGGAGTTAAGTATCAAATTTTTGATTTGGCTCTGTGAATTATAGAATATCTGACTGTAGTCTGTCAGATTTGCAAGTGTTTCAAATATTTTGGCGCTATGCTGGTATAACGTGGGAGAGAAAATCACTATGTTTAGATGTGGTAATAGCTTGCCACGTCATCATATCCATCGTGTATAAGATGTATTTCGCCCATATATTTTTAAAACACTCATTGGCGAGCCAGTTGAGTCCCCATTCTTGCGCCAATATAATATGTTTTAGATGGGATCGATGAAGTGGCGCACTGATGTTGT